GATTAAACAATTAAATTAATTATTTCATTCAATAATTCAAAGTCATTTCTCTCAAGCATGTTATTCAAAATTGTTATAAATTATTAGTTAAAAATTTTAAATAACTGTTAAGACGCGGATTCGCGGATACGAAGGTCGTTTCGGTCCACTTTCCTTACGGACAATTGGTAAGGATAGTTGGAGCTGCATTTTTTTGGACTTCGACGTAAGTTTCGTGATCGACTAATATGCGTGATTAATTAAGTCATGAGATTTGATTCTGATGTGACTTATTTACGTTGACTGTGGCAAGAATACTGAGAAAAATAGCTGTGACAAAAATACTGTTAGAAAATAGCTGTCGAGACGTATTTAGTGAGTGTTTTGTTCAAGCTTGCTCATTAAATCCGATTTTCCCTATTATTTAGATAAGTCGGGTACGCCCTCCGAGGAAATCTTAATCCTAAACTGCAACAATAAGCTTAATGAATTTACCTAAATTACTGTATAATTTATGACAGGTAAAAATTTTTATTACGGTATTATTTATGATGGGTGCTGTATATCACTATTGTGTCTAATAAATAATGGTTGCAAGCATTTTGTTTCTTAAAAGTTGTCCTTCGTAGGCTTCATAAGGTTATTATGTCTGCAGTTCAGCACTTTTCGGACTTTAATTGGAAAGATGTCCGTTGGGATATAAAAGAGAATTCATTGTTTAATTGTCGCAAGTAAATTATTAGAAATATCAGATAATGTTTAAACAATTAGAATATTCAGAAATGATATTTAAAAGTTCATTTCTGAATATTCTTCAACTTATGACTTTTGACTGCTCAAACTTTAGGCAAAGTCAGTGATGCACAATAGGTGGTAGTCTTTGTCAATTCAAAACACAACAGTGATGCACAATAGGTGATAATCTTTGTCAATTCAAAACACAACAGTGATGCACAATAGGTGGTAGTCTTTGTCAATTCAAAACACTTTTTCTATTACAGTAATCAATAATTTTACAATTTTTAGGTTTTACATCCCCCATTAATTTAAGGTAATAAATACAAATAAATACTGTAAGTTCTACATTTTCTTACAAAATGAAACTACGTTTGCACGGTAGGTTTTAACTTATAACTAATTTATAAGTCTGTGACATATAATACTAATTTATGTAAAAAATAATATTACAGTCAAAAATTAAATTGGTCGCTTTTTAAGAATAGCTATGCAAATAAGAAAGCGTTCACATTTAATTCAATAATTTTCGATGTAGATATAACATTATTCTACAGATGAGGTTGGTTGAGCTCGAACGAATACGGAAAATCCTCTAACTCGCCTATTTTGTTAGTTTAACCATTTCGTCAAGTCGACAGAACAGTAACAGAAATGTGGCAATCATGTGAGACTTTTAGGTCTTGGCAACTTTTCGTCAGGAAAACCGAAACTTGCCTGTGTCCTTTTAATTCGTTTTTCTTTCTTCATTATGCACAATAACAAAGGCAAAGTGAATGAAAGTATAAACTGACCACTTTCTCGCCAATTTCGGTGACTTTTGAATGTATTGTGAAGATATTTTGAATAGTTTCTTTTTCTAACGAGTATGTTGGATTTTACTT